ATAAGGCTCAAAGCAATTGATTATTAATTCATTACTGTCTTACACAAGTCAAGTCTGCAACTGCAAGTAGGCCCACGCCTAGGCCTACTAATAACAGTAGTTTGTCATCTGCTTTCCATTGAAATGAGGGAGCTTGTGAATATTTAAAGAAATTGATAACGGCACACTATCACCACATTATCACTCACTATCAACGAAGTGCTGTCCGCAAACAGTGAAACACAAGTGAGATGGCTTCTGGACTTGACACCAAGCAGTTCTGCCAATAGGCAATAGATGATATCCACATTGCGCGACGTTCCGGATCTTTTGAAATCAATGGAAGATAACCTAAGATTTATTTCGTTGTCTATATACTATACGTACATCAAACGGAACAATACGAAATAACCATTTTCAACAGCCAAACAAAACGGAAACGTATAATCCGACTTGCAACTGACAGGAGCCAAATGGACGTTTTTGTTTTATTGCCGTCCAGTAACAAAGTCACGTGACCCGTGCAAGTCCTCTTCCACACATTGCTAAACGAGTCGCTGCACAAAATTAGGGCAAACAAGAAAAAAGTTTTCTTTCATGGCGACTTCAATATAAATTTGTGCAAAACTTCCGATTCTTTCGTTTTAGAATCCTCAAACATGTTATTGTGTAATTCATTACAAGTGTTAACAACTGCGCCTACCATAATCATTGATAATTTTTGCATTAATTGATCTTATTTAGGCTACAGCGACGAAAATGGATTACAGCTGTTAGGTTATGCCTTGTAATAAGGTATTTCTGACCATTCTCCTATAGTGTGCATACTTCGCATACATCAAAAAAAAATATTCCAAGAAAAAATTTGTGCGATCATTGAAATACTTTCAATTTGACTCGTTCTTGGAAGACATTGAAAAATCAACAGCTAAATTAAATATTGACTGTTCAAGACTGATATTGAAAAATCATTTGATACGCTTCTGAAAACTCTAAAATGCGTTGATGACATACATGCCCTGCTAAGGAAAAAACACGTAAAGAACTGAGATTTGACTCAAAACCATGGTTCACGTTAGATATCAAGTAATCGATCTCGACTCGTAAATTTTTATATGAAAGTCTTTTTTTTGTCCACCGACAAAACAAAAATAACATATTACAAAAGATACTCCAACATTCTCACACACATCAAGCAAAATGCTAGAATGATGATAACAAAAAGGATTTGAAGAACGAGAGGGTGACAGAAAAAAAACACGAAGTCTGACTAACACAATCACAAATAAGAAACTTAAACGTAAATTTCCACACGAACTCATGGCATCATATGCAACAACCAATCCATATGCCAATATGTCAAGAATTTCACACTGGTCCCAATCTTTCATCGGAGCTGACGAATAATTCTATAAATTTTATGGATTTGGGCAAACCTCAAAAAAAATCTATTTATCTGGAGCATATACTAGAATATGAAATTATTTCTATTGTAAATAAAATGGATACGGGAAAAACTTCTGGTCCGGACGATCTGTCTATTTGTTTTCTAAAACTTATGAGTCATATCATTAGCAAAGACCTTACAGATTTATTTAATGCATGCATGCAGCGAAGAGCTTTCTCCCAATGCCTGAACGTAACAAAAGTGGTAGGCTACCTGTGTTAAAATCAGTAGTTCCAGTTTTTTCAGCTATATCTAAAGTTTTTGGAAAACTTTTGCATTCTAGATTGACAGAATATTCGGACAAATTTGATATTTTGTCAGATAAACAATTCGGTTTGAGATTGAACACTCAACTATTCACGCAGTTTTAGACAGTGGTACTCATCATTATATGAATATTGCGGAAAATAAAACATTCTGTTAACATTCATGTGGACTTGAAAAAATCTGTTTCCCAATTGATCGCTCCATATTATTGCACAATGTTCATCATTATGGTATATAAGCCCTGGTGCTGATCAAAAGTGACATGAGCGAACGTATGCAACATGTCATTTGTGGTAATGTGAGATCTACGTCAAAACATGTTTATATATGGATGTACCACGAGGTTCTGTTTTGGGGCCTCTATTATTTATACTCTATGTGAATGGTATTCATAATTCCAGTAAATTTTCGACACATTTTTCGCTGATGACACTTCTTTCAAAATTTCGAGATGTTCCTTTCACCAGTTAGAAACCGATTGCAATTCTGCGCTCTCGAAGATCAGTAAATGGATGCACTCCAACAAGCTAACTGTGAATCCCCAGGAGGTCAAATACATTGTAATTTTCAAGGATGAACATGCGAGTGGTAATTTGTATTTTGATAGTATAAAGCTGAAAAAAGTAGAAACAGCTTCTTACTTGGAACTTGAAATTGATTGTTTGTTGAACTGGAGTGGTCACATTGAACTGCTATCCAAAAAAAAATAGCACGTGCCGCTGGAAAACTAAGTAAGCTACAAGTACATTTTTTACATATCATATCACAGTCTCTTTCATTCACATATTATATATCTTACGGAATAATAATATGGGGCTGTGCTCCACACCAGCATTTGAAAAAGCTCAGTATACTGCAAAACAAAGCAATTCGCATAATTTCATATATACATATAGATATATATCGATAGTTACAAGTGATACATACTCGCACCACCAGCCGCTGTTGGCAGGAAGGCAAGAAACTCAAATATATGGACACGTTACGCTGAAATTTACTGTGGTACGGTACGATAACTTATTAGCAGGACTTGGCCACGGAACTTGTTCGCTGATCACGTGATCAATATGTGTTTGCGGAATTGCCACGTGGTGGCAAATTCTGATGGCGTCATAGCTCAAAATAAAAACGAATCCCATAAAGCTCTCAGGAATATTTGAAATTAATAAAAGTAATAGCCTTCTAGAAAAAAATTCAATCTTTAACTACTGAAATTTCAAAGCAATTGGTCCAATAATCAAAGAGAAAAGCGACTTTTTAAAACCGTGTCAAGAAACAAGAACAACAACAACATAATATTGAAACGATCGTTATGTCCACTGACGTGTCCAATAAACTATTTTACATTGGTGACGAAATAAAATATTACTACAGTACCTGAATCAGGGTAACGGTACCCAAATTGTCATAGCTTTTCCAAGTCTTGGGAAGATGATTCATGTTTCAACTTTCAACATGAATTGAAATACCAATACCCGAGACACTACTGTATTATCGGATCCGATACCAGGCTACCGTTTTAAATTGACGCCACCACATTAAACTTCAGATGGGAAATCAAATCCCACAAACCACACAGAAGGTTTTGAAATGAATAAAAGTAAAGGCCTTCTAGGGACAAACACAATCTTTAACTACTAAATATTTCAAAGCTAGTGATCCAAAAGAAAATCGATTTATTATCAACAAAAAGATGAGGAAAGAAATACTTGAAAGATGGTCAACAACATAATAATAATAACAAAACGACCCATATTTACATTTCGTGTCCAATAACCTTCTCAGGTGATGAAACTAAGGAGAAATGTGATTTCTTTCAAAGGAAAAAGTTTGCAAACGAAACCACTTATATATATATACAGAATATTAATAAGCATAATACCAAAAGACCAACCGGGTTTTTTAACTGTGGTATTTGCATTGTGTCTTGATCTCATCGTTCCTTACAAATAGTATGGAGTGGACGAACTGAAAAAAAAGCTATATATATTTTCAATTTATCATTGAACTTGTAGAAGAAGAAGAGGAGCAAAATTGGAATCGATTTATGGCTTGGAATGAATACTACAATATTTCTATTTAAAAAAGTATACGATACGGTTGAATTCCACATTGAAAGACCTGTAATTATTGAGTCACAATATATAAACTCTTACTATGGTAACGTGATTACTTTCTTTAATTTATTTCATTGAATTTTCCTTCTGTCTAACGTTAAAATCCAAATATGGAGGTTGCAAAAGATTGGGTTAGATATAGTATCGGGCAGAAGACACTTTTCAATTCTCTGTTATTATTATGATGAAACAAGTAATCAAGACTCATTTATATATTTATGAACACGAAGTCCAATAACTAACCGCAATACCGATAGCCTTACACTGCGAAATGTGTTCAAACACAGAGTTCGCAAAATGAAAATAAAGTGCAACCGTGACACGGACAGTCACGTGTGGCAGAATGAAAAAAGTATTCCCCCATCAATTAACATAAAACATTGAATTTTTGGCTGAAATATCAGATCTCATAGGACCCAAAAAAATTAGAGAAAAAAAGTAATAGCCTTCTGGTGACTAATTCCATCTTTAGGTATTGTCTAAAAATTAAAAATCTATTGGTTCATTAGTTACGGAAAAAGCGACTTTACCCACACCAAAAATTTCGCCCCAACTACAACCAAGATCCATTTGGCTACTTTGTGTCTTTTTAATGACACACGTATAATGGTACGTCCCCGTGTGGTTCGTCTTCTGTGGCCATGTTGTTTGTGTGGCGGCGGAAACTTTGAAACGACAATTGACATTTCATTTCTAAACTTATTCAAATTGCTTTTGACATACTTTATTTACTAAGCTCAATTGGTATTATGTAATCAGCGCAATGTCCCCTAACAGAAACAAATTAGAATCACTTGCTATTAAAACGAAACAAAATTGTTCGTGGATGTAACAAACATGGCCTTAGATATTTATATATGATCCATAGGCAAGTGAGCGATATCAACCCCCTCGCCGTCTTCACGTTACATATGTTTACCATTAATCAATAATTCTATTAGTTCGAGTCCAAAGCCGTGTAATTTGATTGGATTGTTCCTTTCCGTGTCATTTCCAATGTCAAATTTTTGGAGGCTGCATTCTAATCAGCAACGCAAAGGCTCCTCCCGGGCGCATCGTAGAAGCTAATCCGTATTGTTTCAATATATGAAGAGAGAGAAAATGGACAACTTAAATACCTCTAAACACGTACATTTTTAGAAGATTTCTCGAATATGCGTGCGATTAATATCTTGTGTAATTTGACCCACGTTTTAATCCCTCTTGGTATATAAGCGGTTCTGTTCGCTCACAAAATTACAAATCGGAGTTGAAACACACATTTGAAGTTGTTACAAGCAAGCTCTTGAAACATGGACGCGAAGAAATTTTTCATATTGATAGCATGTTGCTTTGCTGCGACTTCCGAAGGTTAGTAGAAAGTTTGAACTTTGAAAAGTTTCTGAGGGTTCGGCAGCTTCTTGTCTTCTGTACTCTATGTATGAGTATTGAACTCGTATTTTCACTGAACAATTTTTGGCCAATTTGAGTAAGCTATAAATTTCATTTTTCGTGTCAAACTCAAAATATCAGTAGTTTAATATTTATTTGAATCAAGTCTTAATTTTGCTGAAGCAGTTTTTATTTGCAGCAATGCGTTATTTCTGTTATATATATATTTGCACTTTAATGCGATATTTATTATAATCATTCAAGTGTTTGTATAAACTGCTTAGTTTTGTTTATTGCTTACCTATACTACCGTATTCTATTTACAAATTTTATAAACATCCTAATTGTTTATTTAGCCCTTCGTTGCATTAGTTGCGATAACGCGCAAAGTCACGACGACTGCAAGACAAACGGAAAAATTGTGACCTGCCAAGAAAACGAAGTAAGAAAAATTTCATTTATTTTGCTGTGATTGTTTACCAATGGTATTTTATTAAAATTTATTATATTTGATATTGCGCTTAATTCCGTGTGGAAAGTTACACTGGTGTCGATAATTTTCTTTGATTCTTCAAAAAGCAAAGTTTTTTAAAATATACCCCCTGATGAATTTATCTAGCATTTACTCCCCATGTCTCGATAGCTATTTAATGCAAAATACTTGCAATTATCCATTTGTTTAATTAAATATTATTCCCTTTTCAGCAATCATGTCATGCTCAAGTACGAATCCATAGCGGAGTGACAAGAATAACTAAAAGATGTAAACAGCAGCACGCTTGCGAAAACAACGTCAAACAGGTAAGTAAGCTATTTCGAAAAGTAATTTAAAATGTGTTGGACGTAATTGATAGCAAAGGGTTGGTTGATATGTACAACTCAAACGCTTAATATTCATGACCGACTATTGTGACACAATGTTAGATTTTTATTACGCTCAAAAATAGAAAAGCTTCCCTGCGCAACTTATTTTTGTCATGATCATGTATATACGACAAAATGTCGATTTAAAAGATGATTTCAAAAGAGGATACTACTCCAAAAACAATTCCGGTAATCGAAACTCAATTTGCATCTTTTCCCTTACCAAATCTAATCAAGAACGAATTGACTCGAGCTATGTTTAGTAATTTTTTAGTCGTTTTTTTTTCTCTGTGTAAATATATATATATATTTTTTTTTAGAACACTATGCCATCAGGACCTTCAACACAATGTAACTCCGGTACCGAGAACTCTGTTTGCCATTGTTGTTGTTTTACCGATGAATGCAACCACTTGGATGGCTGCATTGGAACGCCTGTGACGGACATATTGCCAACACTTGCTCCAGACAGAAGATGTGAGTGCAACTTTGCTTTCTGATTTTGTAAATGTATAATTTATGGTATTAATAATACCGGACATTTCGGTATTCTTTATGATCAATTATATATTTTCATATCTGCAGCCGGTGACAAATGTGAGACTCCATCACCCATTGAAAACGGTAAATTTGATTGTATCGGAGGCAACATAATCGGAGGATTTTGTAGTTATACATGCAATCCAGGATTCGAGTTGGTTGGAGAAATCATCACAACATGTCTACGTAAGATTATCAATTTTGCTTTCAAATGCATGATTGGCTAAATTCACATAATATCCCACCTAGACTAGCGGGTCATGTAAGTGTGACGTAAAAAGTGACATTTTATAACCAATGATTACAGTGTTACAAAAGCAAAAGTGGAAAACAATAAGCTTCGTGCCAAGACTGCATAGCTAATTTAATTAAAAAATGTTTTTGAGTATCACAGTCAACTGTATATATTTTGTTTCATTTCAATTCTTCAACACAGTTAAATTAACATTATGAAATTCGTGTCACCCGGTACAGTCGCAGACCAAATTGAAAGAGAGGTGGAAGAACAATGTTAGTTTCAAATTTTTGCCCACTGCTTTTGTTATTATGGTAGGTTTTTTTTTTGCATTCCCTAAGTTTAATTCGCAACAAAACCTAATAATAATGATTTAGAAAACATGTAAGATTTTTTTTAACGACCTAATTGTTTCTGTTAGCCGCCGGTGCACTTGGATCCATCTACCAGCCTTTTCCACCAGTTTGTCAGAGAACAACTTGCCCCTCAAACACGACGATTTCTTCGGGTGCAGTTAGAGGGAATTGCTCTGACGAGGACAATATCGGGAGCGTGTGCGAGTATGTATATATATAACTTTACCCACGGGTAACAGCACAACGATAGAGCAGATTTAATCAAACGCTTTATTTAAACTGTAATGTGTTGTTTGCATTATGGTGGTGAATGTTTGACTATTCATGTTCTATACATTTCTCATTTGTGTAATTTTAAAATTTGTTTGAGAAATTCATGTTGATTATTATATTTTCTTACGCAGGATTTCTTGTGAAGAGAGTTATTTTCAAGTCGATGAACTGAGCATTATATGCCAAGAAAACGGACTGTGGTCTGATTCTACTGGTTATTGCTTGGGTATGTAGATTGCGTTAAAAACTTTTTATTTGCCGACGCTTTCCACGGAAATATGTTTATTAAATCACCTTGGTTAAATCATTACCCACCAATTCTATATCCAATTCTTTGGTATGCTAGTCTGATTAGAATTCCGATGAAAAATATCACAAAACTATTCACACTTTCAAAATATAATTGTATGGTGACGTTATACTGCAAAACTAACTCTATTTTACTTGCGCCCACTAATGATCGTGAAGCAACGAATGCATAAAAATGTGCCGTTAGACTTGTCATAAATAGTTCGAATCAAATTTGCTCCATCAGTGCTTCCCGAAAGGGTTACGACCTTGATAATGTATTTAAATCTCCTGATCGTGACATCATAATAAATTCATTTCACTGTTTTTACAGAAAAAACTTGTCGCGTTCGAAAACCTCAAGGTCTGCTGTTCACGTCATGTAGTGATGATAATGACCTGAATAGCACGTGTACGTTTTCTTGCCCAGCTGAATATGTTTTGATAGGAGCCTTGACATCTGTTTGCCGTGACGTCGGAACTCCAATCGCGAAATGGAGTTCGCCTATGCCGAAATGCAAATGTGAGTTAGCATGTGAAGTGTGTAATTGGTGAGTTAGAACTGTCCTGTGTCTAATGTCCCAAATTGATCAAGATGACTTAACTTTGATTGAAATACCGCAAGTTTCACAAATGGCCCAACGCAATGCAACGCGAAACTTCAACACACAGTAACATCGAATTCGACAATATTGCACATGCCAGACTGTTAATCTAATTAAACATTTTAAAGTGTCGTGTGTGAAGAGCATTTAGAATCTGTGTTACATAATCCGATTACATACGTCCTACATGATACGTTCAAGTGGGTTTAATTACTTTCAAAGAATTCACTTAGTCAAGCTATTGTATTTACATTTGTATTCGGAAACAAATGACCAATGTACTTTACTATGCTGGAAATTGAATCTGCGATAGAGTGAGCAAACGCGTGTTATCAATAAAAAATAAGGTTGAGTGTTTCATGAAATACTTCACATTCATTACAGTGAACAAGTGCAAAAGACGTCCAGTGGCACCCAAGCACGGTATCATACAATGCATGGGAGATGACACGATTGGAGATAAATGTAGATTCTCGTGTATAAAGGGTTACAGACTTATCGGACAAAAATCAACTACATGCATGGGTAAGTAGGGTTTAATCGGGAAACGATATCTTATTAAATCAAGTGTGCTAAATTTAAAGATTGGAATAATGTGATTTCCTCCATGTTTAAACATCACTTCATTCTACGCCAATTCCAGTGGATTATTGCCAATTCAATATTAGAATTCTGATTTGTTTATTATTTTTGCTAATTAATGACAACAAATTAATATGTATGAATGCGATTTTTACGTAATTTCCTAATTTAAAAGATCTTGGAAATGATGGCGTCAAGTATGTGCCGTTTAGTGCTACGTGCGTCGAGGTCAAATGCGAACCAGTGAAACCGGAAGACCCATTCATGGGAACAATTACCTCCTGCAGGGAAGGAAATTTCTATCAGAGTACTTGTGTGTAAGTAGTGTTCCGTGAATACAAAGTCCAATTTCAATCAAAATATTGAATTCATGCCTATTACATTCTTCAAACTTTTCAACTCATATGATTATAACTTTTCATTTTAGGGCATCGTGCAATGCTGGTTACCACGCCATTGGTTATTTGACGTCAGAGTGCCAGGAGACAGGAAAATGGTCAGAGTTTAGTGGATATTGTAAAGGTAGGAAACAAATACATTACACCATAACCGGAAATGTTGCCACAATAAAAAGTGTTGCGAGTGTGACAAGAAAATACGTCTTTTGTTGAGAAAAAATATTAGCAAAGTGAGAATATTGCTGTATATGTTTAAATATCCTCATATAGAAGAGTTTTTAATAAGCAATGTTATTTCTTCTATTTTGAAATAATTGTTTGCTTTATTACATCATATTTATTTTAACAGAGGTGCTGTGTAATGATATCAAAACTCCAGCGTTTGGAGCTCGGGCATGTACGTTTGGAGCAATTCACAAACAAGGACAGGTCTGTGAGTTCAGATGTTCAAAGAATCATATTCTTGTCGGAGACAAACGAATTACATGCATGTATAATGACAATTCAGTTGGAAGATGGACTAATGTACCACCAACGTGTAAACGTAAGTTACCACAACGAATAAAATATTTTTGTACTGGCTATAAGAAGATTTCGATATCGATTATTGTCAAGCTTGTAATAGATAGCCCTATACAAACCGGTAGGTTAACCGTAATATAATTTTTCTTAATTATCTAGTTTGAAGGTATTTTCTTATAGAAAACATCGTTTGCAATGTGAACTTAGTAGAATCCCGTAGAATCACGTGATAGTTGAAAACAAAAACGGTGGAACATATAACCCCATTAATTAATCACACTCCGATAGTACGATACCCGCAGTCATTATAGTAATAGGGTCATTTTAGTTTTTTTGTTTGAAACGTCTCCAAATAATGCATTTCGACATAATGCATTTAAATAAAATTTTGAATATTATTTATCGATATGAATACCGTACAATTTTATTTACATTTACATATTTTTTAGGCGTTGAGTGCGAACCATTAGAGGCACCTAGCAACTCAAGAATCAAGTGCAAACGTGACTTTAAAGTCGGTAGTGTCTGCACATATTCTTGCGATTTTGGATATTGGCTTGGTGGTGGAAATGCCCAGAGGACATGTTCTCTCCATGACACTATTCCTAAAACAGGTGTATGGAAAGGAAAGGAACCTTTTTGCGCCCGTAAGCCATAACTATCTTTTTTATAAATCTGTATTTAAAAGGTACATTTTATCAACTTAGCCAACAATTTGTCTTTGTTCGAACAGCATTTATGGAATTTCAAAAAATATTGGCTGGTTGAAGGTATCTTATCTATTCTTATCATTTAGCAATCACGTGTAGAAATGCACCGAAGTATTTAGAATTTGGAACTGTCTCATGCAACGGTGATAAAGTTGGAAACATTTGTAACTTTAAGTGCAGTGCAGGTTACACTATGATTGGAAAAAGAAATTCTATCTGCAAAAACTCTGGAAGTAAACAATATGGTGCCTGGTCGGAATCAGTACCTACGTGCAAAGGTACATGCAATTATTGATTTGTTGATTAAATGAGTTGGAGATTGGTTCTGCCGAAAACTGACGTAATTGTGCGATTTTTGAGTAGTCCATTGAAATTCGCTCTTTTCATTACAGCTCTACAATGCAATGAACCTGGAATTTTGAAGCACGGTGAAATTTCATGTTCTAATGACACCGATGTAAACTCAGTGTGTGAATACAAATGTTTGGATGACGGATTTTATCTTTACCCACCAAATTCTATTCAAAGCACTTGTCAAAACAATTTAAAATGGAGCGTTGCCAAGCCTTGCTGTGCAAGTATGTAAACTTTTATTCTTTTTCATATGGTCATGTTTTTAAATTGAATAATAAAACGTTGAAAATTCATTCTAGACGTGGATCTGTAGATATTCTGGTTTTCAGTCTAGTGCCGTTTAATTATACATAGGCAATAGAATTCAGAGTATTTTTATATTCATCAAGACGAGAGTAAATTGATACGTGGGCTTAATCATATCATTAAAAGACATGCGATGGCAGGCGTGTTTCTACTACTTGACACGATGCGCCAACTGGCGGGCGCTTCTACGTTCCCGATAACCCACCACGATTACAAATTGTGCTGGCCTGGAAAATGGTTGAAAATAGCTAAGGTAGTTTGTTACTATCATTTTTTGTCTTTTCAACAGAAACTTGTCCGCCACATGCCTTTATGGATTTATTGCTTTTGATTGATTCATCTTCGTCCATCACATTGCCAAACTGGAACAAAATGATTGATTTTCTAATCGGCTTCATTTCGTGAGTATTTTAAACTCTTTTATTTGGTTTTGCACATAATTTCTACCAAAAGGAAAACTAAAATTGTGTACAATCAGTATGTTTGTGTATATTAATGTCAACTACTTGATTTTTAACAAATCTTGAATATGATTTATGTATGGCAATAAATTAGGTTACAACTCAATAATATATAGATGGTGCTTAATTTAATAAGTTTACATACATATAAAAGATTTGGACTTAAATAATTTTAACATGTATATTTAATTCAGAGAGTTCGATCTTTCTCTCGACTCATCTCGTTTTGCCTTTGCAAGATACAATTCTGAAGTTGATGTAGAATCGCAGGTATGTACCAATATGAACATTTTTCAATAATTCTTCTGATAGAATTCTATCAAAAAGCAGATGACGCGGCATTCACATAATATCCAATAAAAGTGAGAGCCTGAGAAAGAAGGTTAAATGATTCATAAACCAAAGAAAAAGAGATGAAACTATATATCGAATACAATCTTTGTTATATACTAGTTGTCTTGGTGGGATTGTTTTACAGCATGGGTGGGCAAGGTTTTCCCATCTAGACTAGCGGGACATGTAAGTGTGACGTAAAAAGTGACATTTTATGACCAATGTTACAGTGTTACAAAAGCAAAAGTGGAAAACAGTAAGCTTCGTACCAAAACTGAATTTAATTCAATCTTAACAAATTCCTTGAGCTATTTTCTAGCTCAAACATCAAAATTTGGATTTAGTTTGGTTGTGGCTTCATCCAGCGGATCAAATTGAAGTACCCAACGCGCCGTAGTTTGCCCATGTCAGTTTTTATAGGGATTATAGGGAGTCGTTAGATTTAAAACAAACACATAATTATTAGCTTCATTTTATCACTTTCCAATACAGGTTAACCTTGGTCAGATCAGAACAAATGAAGAATTTATCGAGCATCTCAGAAATGTTCCATATGACGGAAGTGGTAAGAAGTCTTTCCTTTTAATGCAATAGCTTTAAGAATTTACGATGACAATCAGAATTTTTTTTGACAGGGCATCTAAATGATTAATCGGTACTCCCGTAATGTATGTACCGGGTTAGGGTTAGGCGATAATTTTTTTCCGATTCTCTTTATTTTAGTTCTATTACAAGTTCGGGAACTGTCTGTTTTAGCCAAGTGTATATACGAAGTAGGCGAACAAAATTAGTTACCTCCACACACACCGGAGCGCCGATTGATCTAATACACAAATGCATGTAATTATTCTCCGACGATGTACATTTTCACCCCATCGTATTACTTTTACTAGGAACTCGTACCGGCAAAGCAATTACATATGCAGCTACTATTTTTGATTCGCCCGAAAACAGAGATGATTCTCATGATATGATTCTTCTGGTAACTGATGGACAACCACAAGACGATGCTGTTTTTGCCGCTGAATATTTCCGAGCTGTGGCAAACAAAGGAATGGTAAGTATTTTTACGATTACTTGTTGCAGAACTTTGCTGAAGACATAAGAAAAATAAAATAGTAATGAATTTATAGTTTTAAATTAATAAAAAATTCTGTTCTGTTGTTTTAATACTTTCATTATCTCATTTCAGATAAAAGTGTTGCCTATCAAGCCTACCGGCCCATATGACGAAGAAGCTCTACTTGGTGAGATTACTCAAATAGCCGGAGGTGAAGAAAACGTCATAATGGACGCTTGGGAAAACGGATTTGATGATCTGAACGTGAAATTAGCTAAGAAGATTGGAGATGTTGTGTGCGGGGATCCTTGCTATCACGCAAATATGTAAAATTGCCAAACATGAGTACGGTTTCTATTCTGTACACATAAAGTTTTTATATATACATATTTAAATTTTACACCATATATATGTATTGAACTAGATTTTTAATATTGACCCACAGAAATGATTTATTAGTCCATATTACCAATTGTTTTCATGCTTTTTTTGCTATTTTTTTAAGGATTGCCTTCTATATATCATTTTTATTCTCTTTCTTTCATTGTTGTTTATCGTTATTTGTACTTTATATAAAACATTGCTTAATGTCTGTAGCACTAAATAATCGTAATTTTTTACTTTTTATAGAATCAAATATATTATCTTACTGGATAAAGGTATCGAAATGAGTGGCTCAGTTTCCCGTTGTGTTAGGGTAGACAACTCTTTGACAATGAACTTTACGATCATAAAACTCCTCAAAATCAAATGTGCCCAAATCTTCGCGCCCTGCGTTGCAATCCTTGGTTACGAATTTGCGATCCACGAGCGAGTTAACAGCTATCGAACGAAGTATGACCCTCTCGCAAATAACTTTGTAAGTTTTTTTGAAATAAAAATTTATGCGTGTGACTCTCCATATAATATCATTTACGCTTTCCATTCGTATACTGCCCATCCTACCCATATTTAACCTCGCAGATGCAGCAAAACATGAGAAGCTGGATGGCCACATACCTGTTAGACATTTTAGAAACATCTAAAAAATATTCGCCTCGCTCACTAATTACTTATCGATCTTAAGATCGGTAGGTATGTTGATAGGTATTCGTCTGTCTATATGTCTGTTCGTTTGTCTGTTAGATGAACGCGATATCTCAAGAAGGCAAGGTTGAATCTGCTCCAAATTTTGCATGTGCATTCATCATATCTCGGATCAGAATCCTATTGATTTTGGATGAATTATGTCGTATCATAGCGAGTCATTGATTAATTAGTGATGGGACACGCGGTGTCACTATAAAGTCACTATAAAGTCATGAATCGAAACCGCAGTTTCGATCGATAAGTCTTCGGTCTCCGACCAATACTCTGGTTTGTATTGTTGGAAACCATAGAGAGTGGTGGGACTACGTTAGTATTAATATTGTACAAATTTGCAATCTCATACACGATTTGCATAATTTGACTGATAACGAAGCTCCACGTGAACGTTACCCTGGTAGAAATCTTTAGACCAATTAATATTTTCATACACTGAATGGATGAAAAGCGGGTCAGAGTTCACCCAACATTAGGTTATTTTTATTAACGCCGGCTTTGCGCAAATCACGGCTATACAACTCTAAATCAAAACCAAGCATAATTGGTAAAGAGATTGCCTACACTTTATCCACAGGAGAAAAATTAGGTCAAACAAGCTCATATCCCAACGGATGTTTCCTGAAACATCGACTTTCTTGGTTATTTTTGTAACATAGCTCAAACAGCAATTGATGTTTCTTTGACCCTTGCTTGACCTCTTAAAATTTCTGCCTTTACTTTACTATTTTAAAGTTTTTGATACTTATATTTTGAGAGTGTTTGGTCGCAATCGCAAATGGAGGGAGGCTACTCGGCTCAAAATTTATTTTAAAGCGAATTTCTTTGCATACTTTTCCTTTTATAACAAAATTTCCCGCTCTACCTGATTTCATTACCTTGGGGTCACTCTTTACCCCTTCCCTATCTCTTTTTTTCGCCACTTAAAATGTTTGAATTTTTATCTAATATGTTGTTATTATAAGCAATCTTTTGGTTACAAATGACATCATTTTATTACCACATCATAGCATAGCATTATTCCTTATCAAACATAAAACTGCGATGGTTCCTTCGAAGTCATTTGTACTTCTGGAATGATGAATGACACAACTGAATAGAGCAGTGTTTCCCAACCTTTTTTGGTCGCGGACTATTTTCACACCAGGGAAAATCTTTGCGGACTCAACCTGCGGTAACTTTAAAACCGAACTCTGTGTGAAGGAGCAATAAAATCAAAGACAACAGAATTTTAACGAAGTCCGTTTACAATCCATATTTACAAAATTTAATCGAAACCATAGCGAGGTGCTCAGTCATTGAGACATCGAGAACTGCTCGCTCTGACAAACTCGAAAGATATTATGAGATCACTGGCTACAATTCGCTGACGAAAATCATAGGAAGGAATTTACAACTAAGATTTTCAAATAAATTCATTTTGATTTTTGTCCTTATCGATCGTCTTCGTAAAATTAAAAAATTAACAATATCTTTATGACTGGTTCCTGAATTTGCTGTCATTTTCTGTCTGTATCGAGTCTATGTCTTTTTTGCCTCGAAACAAATCCTCCGAAATGTTGTTACTGCGTATCCATTGAAATCTGATAGAACTCATCTAATGGTATTGTATATTCAAATTATTATATCCGCTCGGAAAATTTTGAAATGTTACATCTTTGTTATTTGTATTGGTGAATCGAATTTTACCAAATGGCCCACTGAAAAGATGTGAAATTCATGCGATATTGGCGCACAATAAGATCATTTAAAAATGTGCCAATGGTGTTACAGGAAACAAATAGATAAAAAACACAAATATGACACTCAATCTTAACGGAAGCGAAAAGTACGTGTCAACTCGTGTTTTTGTCAGAAATCTGCGAGTCCGTTGTGCAATTTAATCGTTTGATTCAGCGCGATTGACATGCTGTGTCCAAGTCACGTGTTACCAGGTATTCCAATAGTTTGCTGTTCGAGTAATTTTTCGAGTAATTATTGACTCGATTAATTTTATGTGAATAAACTTGAATTTTATGTTTTATGTAAATACTAACGTGAATCGTAACTTGGCAGGTACTTAAGTCTGGTAAAAACGTTTTCGCCCCGCAATGAATTTTGCGACACTGAAAAGGTTAGTGACCTATATTAAATATACTACTACATAACTTTCTAATTTGGTCGTTGCGGACTCATTCGAACGTTCTGCGGACTCATTTGAGACCGCGGACTCGGAAAACACTGGAATAGAGGTACCAGAGCAGGGGTCTCCAACTCAAAATATGTAATGGGCCACTTTTTGAACTTTATTGACGACGCGGGCAACAAACCAACAAACAGCTACAAAATGGATACACATAAAATAACAAAAGAAATTTGAATGTACTGTGTTGAAATTACACTTGAATCTTACACCAAACAAAACATGAAACATATTCATATACGTGTGCTGGATATTTAGCGCCGTTTTGTATAGCGGCGAGAAACTGAAGTTTGGCATTATTTTGAGTTAGTTTGCTAGTCTAAGGCAGCATGCAAATGCTCGTTCGTTGGTCGTGTGCGGAACGCTGAATTTTTACCTTTCAATGTTGAAAAAAAGAACTGGTCGCAAATATAAGTACTGCCAAACATCGCAAGTAGTGTAGCCTACAATTAACTTTGGGAACTATTCTTCGGACACATACCGGTAAAACTCTGGAACATTGACTTCTGAATCCTTCTCCTTCACCATTGTTGCATTGGGGGGAGGGGGTGTTTCACTTTTTACAGTTTGTCGGACTGGACTCTTGATGTTAAATAACACGATATAACCTACTCATAGTAAAGCCCACTCATCTCGACCATGACGCAGTCGCGTGTTGGAGACCACTGTACTAGAGATACTGCTGTATACTATAACATGTGAAATAAAGGGCATTTGCACAAATTATATATATAAGTCAATATTAGTAAAGAATGATCACAATACACATACATGATTTTGTTAGAAAGAAAAAAAAATATGTGTCACCTGTGTCGCCTGAGGTGTTAAAAAAATTTAATTATTCAAGGGACGTATATTTTCCGAGAAATTCATTTTTTAGTTCATTTTTTAGTTCTTCATTATTACTAAATCACAAACAATGCTTTACTTCTTTCCAAGTTAAAAAAAAAATTCAATAGAATCAGATTCGGAAATATTCTAATCGGAACGTTCTGATTCGAAATTCGATTCGAATACACCCCTAGTCATGAGCACTAAAATCCACCGGAAATGGATCACGGGCCATGAAAGGTTGGGAACCACTAGTGTAAGCCATTACTTCAAATGCTAAATATACTCATGGTTAAGAAGAAATAATGAAATTTGAAGTATTAATTTTCAAAACAATTCTTTGAAATTGCTTTGACGACATACCTTTCATGAGTAAATCTGAGCGCCAGCATGCTCTATGTTATATTGGACTCAAACTATTGAATGAATTCTTTCCCATTTGAAAACATTGAAATCCAAAAATATCATTACAGGAAGAGACTGGACAATAAATTCGGAAGTCTTGCAGTTAAGTCAATATTGATTATTTTGACCAGGACCTTGAGATTATCGGTAGAAAGAGTTGTCGCAAGAGTGGAGGTCATATCTAAAGGTCGAATAGAAAGAATGCACTTCTTTCTTCAAATAAGAGGTGTGATATATTGACTAACAATTTGTTGCAACACCAATTTATTGACCTTATGTAACTAAATTAAATCGTCTTGTTGATAGTATTGCCCTTGTCGTCTGCCTAACTAATGAATTTATAAAATCTCTCCCAATTTTGAATAAGCATAATCACTTGTCCAATGCTCGCAGCACGCTGTCTTTAGAGATTTCACAGTTTGCATGCATAACCTTGAATTTCACATTGTTGCGCCACAATCACAACAACGCAACATCAGAGAAAATCTACGTTTCAATCGGCATCTAGTTTCAATGTGCACGCATTTTCCTATGGTGGTAATAAAGGATATTAAAAAAAGATTATCACACAAAAACTCGACTGCCATTCAACTACCCCTGGATCTTCTCTGCACTGATGATCATTACATTTGTCTTATTTGTGCAAGTTAACGGGAAATTTGTAAAAGGGCGTCCAATGGGCAAAGCGTATATGTTTGCGCTCCTGATTCTTTAATAAGTTGTATTTATTTTGTTTTTATCAATCATTTTATCGTCTACTATGCTGAATATGGAGTCGAAATAAACTTATACTTATTCATATACATTGTGTCCACTGTCCAAAAACCATAGGCTTTTTCGTGTCCAATTACCATAGGTTTCTTTCGTGTCCAATAACCATAGGTTTCTTTCGAGTCCAATGCAGCAAATTTTGGACCCAATACTGCCCACATCAAGTGCAGTTTTAAGTATTCTGTGGCGTCTGCAGCTGCCGCAAAACCATGGCGGTATTTCCATACCATGGCCGCTACGGCCAAACCTATGGCGACTGACTTTTTAGCTGCCACAAACCAATGTCGAGCTGCCGTTAGCGCGGCAGCAAATTGAAAACCAATGGCAGGTAAAATTTTGCTGCCGTAACCGCGGCAGGTGGGCCGTAAAGATAGGGTTGTCT